ATTTGTTCCACGGACTTGAATTCCATGCATGGTTGGTTGTGGTCGATAAGTGATTTTGTTGAGACTTGCATTTATCCATGAATAAGTTGAGAACTTTTCATTTGCCCGTTTTGGTGGCTTTGAATGCCATTTGTGGTGGATGTCGGTATTGCTTGCAACGGTTCATGTGTTGATTGACAATAAACATCGAGAATTCCCGCTTCATGCCCTTTGAGTTGTCCCCAAAGCATTTGTGTAGGTTGAAATATTATCGTGTGCGTGAAATGGTTTGCTTGCGGACAAGCAAACGTTTAAGTGTGGGGAGTGATTCGGGCCTAATTGCACATGTTTTGCCCCCGTTTTACTTAGATGTTTGTGTCAAATTCGCTCATTAAAGGTCGGTTTTACGCGAGGTTCTTCGTGTTTGAGTGCTTTTCAGGATCCAACAGGTGGAACCCGCCTCGGAGTCGAAAGATTGGCGAAAAGGATCGAAAATCAGGAAAAGAGGTGAAAAAGAGCCAATTCACGGCTAATTGAAGGAGTTGACGGTCATGCAAGACCGTGAAGAAGGAGACTTGACCGTGAATTGGAAGACGTACAGAGCCAATGTGAAGGTTACTGACGCAAGGTTAGTTCACGGTCACTAAGAGGTGAAGAAGGAGACTTGACCGTGAAGATTGGCGAAAAGGATCGAAAACCGGGAAAAGAGGTGAAAAAAAGCCAGTTCACGAACTTGACTGTGAATCGCAAGGCGTGCAAAGCCAATGTGAAGGTTACTGACGCAAGGTTAGTTCACGGTCACTAAGACCGTGAACACAAGCATTTGCCCATGAACTGACGTGAGCAATGCGGAGCGTTTTGGCGCTCGCGTTGAGTTCACGGACGCGTTTGATGGTTCACGGCCGTGAACTCAGCTCTTCTCGGGTTTAAAAGTTGAGCTCCAAGGAGGAGAGAGGGAAATCCCATTTTTGTGAGAAAATACCTTCTTCGGCATTCTAGTGAGAGAAACAGAACCAATGGGAAGAAGAGGGTTAACGTTTGGCTTCAAGGAAGATTTTGGGAAGATTTCCCCAGGATATCTCATCTCAAGGGTCAAGAAGAGAGGAGGCATCCCCAAAAGATGATTTCGACCTTTTTCCCTTTTGTTCTTCCCACTTCTACCATGCAGTAGACCTCCTGTAACACCCTACCCTTTACGTTTTGCCTGATCGTATTGTTCATACAATTACAACAGAATTTAAAACTGGTGTTACAGTAATTACCAAAATTTACCCAAATAAAATTTCGACATGAATTACTCGCGTAATGGGCTAACAGTTCTTGCATCTAATCCTGCAAAATAATTCATCTGAATCCATGCATTCATAGACAAAGATATATACTCACAACCATATGCATTGGCTTTTCATAGCCATAGTCACAGTTTCATATTACATAATTGCATTACTGATACATGCTATAATCGTCACAACTTACATAATTACACAAATATACACATATTATCAACTTTCCACACCTGTGGATATCTCACACTACATCAGAAGCTAGTATGCACCTGAAAAACATTCTCAAAACATATTTACAAAAAGGTGTGGATCACTGGCCAAAATCCCGAGTAGTAGTCCAAGCACAAAATAGTTGAAGACCATACCTCATCTTGCCTTCAACTCTTGCTCACCTCCCACCTATACACCTATCTACTTCTGCTGATGATGATGATGATATGCTTACACATGGCATAAGCAGAGAAAAAGGATAAAGAGGGCCAGCTCATGGCTGAGTGAGACAATCATTGCATCGTGAGTTCATAACAAAGTATACCCCTACCATACATCTAGCAATCACAAGAGAGGTGTGACTATCATGTCATAACAGAGTAATAGCATGGGGAGCTCTAATTACTATGTAATTGACCGTGAGACCAAATACTCATATTTCGTATCCTTATACATGATTCATATCTCATCTTGCTTAATCATAATTCATTACTTGTACATGTACTTAACCTAACCATAATTTGCTCAATATAGGTAAACCAGGAGTCGTAAAATTGCACTTCCTCGGGATAAACCCTCGTGCCAGTCATCCTCCTTCAAACATCATAATATCACCGTGGGAAGTTTATTTCCCCCCACTTGTGAATCCAAATACAACCACAATATCATATCATGTCAAAACACCTTATCGAACAATCATGAAGTCATATCAACAGTTCAGCCACAAATGGCAACATGTTTGCAATCATCAACATAAACAAAGTCCATATCGATTAGGGCAGGTCAATAATATCATACGACACCCAATGGTTCATCATATAGCATAAAAGTCCATACACCCCTAATCATGCCATTCTAGTTCATCTAGGTCAATTCTAAGAATCAATATAATTATCGTGATACGACAAATCCGGTATGTCGTGCTAATCCCTCACTAGTTATGGTCGTTAAACAACGGTTTTAGCCTCCCGTATCACAACTTCACTTTTCTCAAACAAGCCCTGAATCAAAATCCGAGATTGCCCTAATATCCCCTGCAGTATCCCCGTCAATGTTATTTCTAGGCTCCGAATCAAATTCTCGATAAAAACACATCAACCCTGGCCGGAGCTAAATTCAGCGATTCCGACTCCGACCTAAATAATAGCCAAAATTCTTGGATTAGAACTAGAAAATTAATTACCTCGCTGCAGTAAGTTCGTATATGAAATCTGAGCTTAATCCGGCTTTCGAATCCTCTGGTTCCCTAATTTCTACTGTGGTAAACGTAGAAATTTCTTGCCCCAAAACCCACTACAAGCACCGGGATTGATGGACGACATTATGAGGAAGGTTTGCGTACCATTTCTCTCGTATTTTTTGACAACCCTTCTCAAAGGGTTAAGCTCGCAAACGTTTCCTGGACCTCCCTTGCTTCTGCGTTCTATTAGCTCTCGGTTTGAAAATGATAGAAATGAGACTGATAGGGTATGAATGTAAAGTATAATACTTGGAGAAGGTCTATAAGAAGAGTCCAAGAGAAGCTAAGACATAGGGGCAAAACCCTAGAGACTTACATCATTAGAAGAAGAAGACAAGGTTAAGAGACAAGACCAAGGGACAAAGCCAGGCACCTGACATCAGCAAAGACAAAGTATGAGGGGACACCCTCTGCCAAAAAGTACAATGTACAGTGTCAGAAGGTCTAAGGCGCCCGGCCACAACATTTATGACTTGGCAGGCGGCCGGACCACTACCTAACCCTCAGATGTGTATAAATAGGAGTTCTCTCCTCATAAATGACAATCTATCTACTCTTTACTCTAACTTCTCTCTACTTTCTCTCTCTATACACGTCTTCTTGCTTCTCTTTTCCCACATCTACTGAGGTGGGGCGCCTACCTCCTCGAGGTCATGCCTGACACCCCAAACCCCTTGGACCCGAGTGACCCCCAGTCGATCGGGCTCAAACAATTGGCCCCCACCGTGGGGCCAAGCATGACTTCGAAAGATGCCTCCATCTCAAAGAAAGGAGAAGAGAAGAGCACGGCACCAACAAAGACCCCTCTCAAGCAAATTGTTGGTCGAGAAGCGATCAATCCTCAACCACTCACCGTCCAAGGCTTGGAACCATCCGATGACGATGATCTACCAGAAGGCGAAGAGGACACGGAGCGCCTGAGGTGTCAACTAGCGAAGCTCCAAGAAAGGCAAGCGCTTCAAATGGCAAACATGCAAGGGCAGTTAGATCAAGTCATGACAACACTGTCGACATTGACAAAAGTAAACGACCACGCGCCTCCCGACCTCCAAGGAGCCCCAGATGATAAAAAGGAGCCTGAAAGGAAAGATGCACGAGGTCGAAGCGCCACCCATGAACTCCCCACGGGAGGGTGTAGGCGCCTCACCAGAAGAAGAAGCGTTCGAAGCTAATGACGCCGCCTTCCTAGAAAGGAAATGGAAATTCACTACTGCGGAAAGTGATCATAGAGAAACAAATGGAGTCTTCCTGGACTCGCTTCCTCCATCGAAGAGAAGCCTAAGCGCGTTACTTCCTTCTCAGGGGTACGCGTAGGAGAAATCGATACTTGCTCAAGATATTCATCTTGGCAAAGCCTTTACCCGCGACTAGCGGAAGAGACCTAGTGCTTACACGTGGATTTTTATCCAAGTTTCGGGCGCTCGTTTTACGAGTCCCCATGAGAGGCGATATTTTGTCCACATCCCTCGCAAAAAATTCCTGCCTTGACAGAAGGGGTCACCCAAACCCGCTTCCTCCGTCGAGGAGAAGCCTAAACACGTTACCTCTTTTTCAAGGGTACGCACGGGATACTTAAGCTCGCTTCCTCCGTCGAGGAGAAGCCTAAACGCGTTACCTCTTTTTCAAGGGTACGCACGGGATACTCAAGCTCGCTTCCTCCGTCGAGGAGAAGCCTAAGCGCGTCACCTTCTTTTCAGGGGTACGCGTGGGGAGACTTCAACGCTGGTTTAGGACAATCGCCCTAACCAATACACAAAAACGAGTTGCAGCGATAGAAGGACATGAATTCCCTAAAATCAAAGGGGGGCATCATAAGTGCGAGAACAAAGTTCGAAAACAAAATAAACACCCTCCAAGGACACATGCGAGGGCGAAATAAGCAAAAGGCGTCAACACAACCAGCCCGTTAACATTGTTCAAACAAGAAACAAGTAATAAGAAACACCCTAACTATACTAGTCCGACTTGCGCGAAGCATCATCAGAAGAGTTAGAGTCGACAGAAGTACCACCATCTGAAGCACCACCCTGACCATCAGTGGCAGCGACATCATTCCTACCTTCCACCTCAACACCAGCGCTAGCACCGACAACACCTTCGTCATTGTCACCCACCTCCTCGTCACCAGCCTCAACCTCAACCTCGACGTCATCAGCGGAGGAGTCGCCCTCATCTAGTGGGAACGGATTAGAGTCGGAAGGCTCATTGTCCGTACCAAGAGACAGGAAGTAATCATCCATCGCTTGCCAGACTTCCGGCGTATCCCACTTCATGTCAGGGTTGTCGGACCGAACCTTCATGCGGATACCAATGAAAGCTCTCTTCTTCACACCAATTAGAAGATCCCGCTGCCAGTCACGAAACTCCGCTGATGCCAAATGACCATCCACAGCATCCTCACGTTCCTTGGCTAGCTTCTTCCTGAACTCCTCCTAGAAAGGAAAGAAAAGTTTAGCCCACGCAAAAGATGGCAGCCAAAAATACGAGGCGCCACCCCCCGATTGAAGAAGAGGGCACGTGAAGAAAAGTTTACCTGCTGGCGCCCTTTGGCTGTAGACACGGCATGCAAATCCTTCTCCAAATCCTCAATCTTTTTCGATCGAAGTGCTAGCTCCTTCTCCATCTCCTCGCGAGCGGAGGCGCTCCCGGCAGCCAATGCATTAGACAACTGCTGCTTCACCAACGACAACTCGTATCCCAAGCGAGAGTTGACGTCTTGTAGGGTTGCCTTGTCAGTCTTCAGTTGAGAGGCCAGCATGTGGTTCTTGTGGGCGCGCTCTCGGTTTTCCAGACTCTTGTCAGAAAGCGCCACTACGTCAAGCATCGCCTGAGCAAAACAGCGTCGTTAGCAAGAGAACACAAATATTTCAACTAAGAAAGGATAAGGATACAAAAGCATACCTAAAACGGGCAAAGACGGGGAGGCGCCTCCCCCAATTAAAGAAAAAGCGCACGATGGCGCCGCCCCTAGTTCAAAATTTTGCAAGGGGTGGCGCCTAAGAAAGATTAAGCAGAGATTACCTACGCAAGTTCCGGAAGCGCTCAACGAATGGAAGGAACGACACCTAAGAAAAAATACATAATTTTAGTAAAACGAGGCAGAGGCGCCTCCCCCAATTGAAGAAGAGGCAAACGACGACGCCACCCCTAGTTCAAAAATTGTAAAGGGTGGCGCCTAGGAAGAACAAAGCAGAACTCACCTACGCGAGATCCGAAGGCGCCCAGCGAATGGAGGAACGACACTTGAGAAAATACATAATTTTAGAAACGCGGAGGCAGAGGCGCCTCCCCCAATTGAAGAAAAGGCGAACGACGGCGCCACCCCTAGTTCAAAAATTGTAAAGGGTAGCGCCTAGGAAAAATAAAGCAGAACTCACCTACGCGAGATCCGAAGGCGCCCAGCGGATGGAAGGAGCGTTGCCTGAAAAGGACCAATAATTTTAGAGACAAGGGCGCGGAGGCGCCTCCCCCGATAGAAGAAGAGGACACATGGCGGCGCAGTCCCTAATTCAAAAATTATAAAGGGTGACTCCTAGGAAGAAGGGAGGGTAGCGCTTGCAAAAAATTAGGCACGAAATAAGCTACCTGAAGCAAGGGGGTAGCGTCGGCAAAGGAGCGAGTCTCCAGGCACCCAACTGAAGGTTAGACACCTTGCTGAAGGGGTGAGGTGTCAGGCTCCCAACTAAATGTCAGACACCTCGACAAAGGAGCAAGTCGCCATGTGCCCCACTGAAAGTTAGGCACCTCGCCGAAGAAGTGAGGTGCCAGGCGCTCCAATGAAGGTTAGACACCTCGCTGAAGGAGTGAGGTGACAGGCACCTCGGTGGAGGAGTGAGGTGACAGGCGCCCAACTGAATGTCAGACACCTAGGCAAAGGAGCGAGTCGCTAGGCACCTCACCAAAGGAGTGAGGTGTCAGCCTCCATATCAAAGGTCAGGCACATCGACAAAGGAGCGAATCACCAGGTGCCCCACTGAAGGTCAGGCACATCGTCGAAGTAGTGTGGTGTCAGGCGCCCAACTGAAGGTCAGGCACCTCGGCAAATGAGCAAGTCACCAGGCACCTCGTTGACTTTGGGTCTTAAGGCAACAAACTACAAGCTGGGTGACAAATGCTTAGCCAAAGACATAAGCGAAGGAGTGAGGCGCCAGACACCCCACTGAAGGTCAGACACCTCGCTGAAGGAGTGAGGTGCCAGGCGCCCAACTGAATGTCAGACACCTAGGCAAAGGAGCGAGTCGCTAGGCACCTCACCAAAGGAGTGAGGTGTCAACCGCCGTATCAAAGGTTAGGCACCTCAACAAAGGAGCGAGTCACCAGGTGCCCCACTAAAGGTCAGACACCTCGTCGAAGTAGTGTGGTGTCAGACGCCCAACTGAAGGTCAGGCACCTCGGATAATACTTGGAGAAGGTCTACAAGAAGAGTAGTGACACTGAAGGTCAGGCACCTCGCAGAAGGAGTGAGGTGCCAGACGGCCAACTGAAGGTCAGACACCTTGGCAAATGAGCGAGTCGCCAGTCACCTCATTGACTTTGGGTCTTAAAGCAACAAAGGACAAGCTGGATGACAAATGCTTATCAAAGACATAAGCGAAGGAGTGAGGCGCCAGGCACCCCACTGAAGGTCAGACACCTCACTGAAGGAGTGAGGTGTCAGGCGTCCAACTAAAGGTCATACACCTCGGCAAAGGAGCGAGTCGCCAGACATCTCGTTAAGTTTGGGTCTTAGGACAACTAACGACAAGCTGGGTGACAAGTGATTAGCCAAAGAATCGAAGCAAGCACTCTTCTAAAAGAGCACAAGTAATTGAAAGAAAAATGTAGCATCACAGACAATGAATGGAAAGCATTTGAATACCAGTGGTATCTTTTGGCAAAAAGAAGAAAATGGGAAAAGAGCGCTAGGCGCTCATTTCAAATGGGCAAGGCACAGGGTGTTCAAAGGAAAACTGACAAGTTTGTTTCAATTTCATATGATTGTCAAGATAGATTGAATCCTCTAACACGAGCGTAGGCGCATCCTCTAAGATGAAAAAGTGGTCAATTGGGAAATAATTGATGAAGAACGGAAGAATGCAAGCGTCAGGCGCTTGATAAAAGGGGCATGATTGCTTCTTTAGCTAGTCTTCTTTACTTGAGACATGTGTTTTCTTTCTCATTTTACTACATCTTATTTGGAAGCAAGCACACCCACGCGGGTGCACAAGCGCTCAACAGATCAGAAGATTAATAAGAGAATGAAGCACCCGCTTGAAAGGAAGAGTCTGGTGCCGATTAAGTAAAGAAAGAGAGCTGGCACTTGATTGAGAAGACGAGAAAGCAAGGTTAGGGAAACACTCACTTTATGTTGACGCCGCCATGATACTCATACCGACGCCAAAGGGGCAATTGATAGGGTATGAAGGTAAAGTATAATACTTGGAGAAGGTCTATAAGAAGAGTCCAAGAGAAGCCAAGACATAGGGGCAAAACCCTAGAGACTTACATCATCAGAAGAAGAAGACAAGGTTAAGAGACAAGACCAAGGGACAAAGCCAGGCACCTGACATCAGCAAAGACAAAGTATGAGGGGACACCCTCTGCCAAAAAGTACAATGTACAGTGTCAGAAGGTCTGAGGCGCCCGACCACAACATTTATGACTTGGCAAGCGCCCGGACCACTACCTAACCCTCATATGTGTATAAATAGGAGTTCTCTCCTCATAAATGACAATCTATCTACTCTTTACTCTAACTTCTCTCTACTTTCTCTCTCTATACACATCTTCTTGCTTCTCTTTTCCCGCATCTACTGAGGTGGGGCGCCTACCTCCTCAAGGTCATGCCTGACACCCCAAACCCCTTGAACCCGAGTGACCCCGTCGATCGGGCTCAAACAGAGACTAATGGTGGATATGGATCATTTATACAGAATCTCCCAACCGCTTTGTTTCCCCTCTCTTTAATAATAGCATTTTAAATTTCATTATCCCCTTCTCTCTACAGCAAACACGTTGTATATAATGTGTACAGAGAGATATAATAATTGATATATATCTTTATAAATTGATATAATAACATATACTTATCCGATTGGGATGTTTCGATTTTCGTAAATACTATCAAAACACCCGATTTAAATAGCGTAATTTTTAGAAATCGAAATACGAGTTTTGCCGGAATGGGATGTTACATCTCCTTTCACTTGGGTGTAGTGAAACCCTAACTCTATCATGTAGTTTTCTTGTATGTGGTTTGAAAGATTGATATTGGGTATTGTTCAATTCAATGTTTGAGTCATTATTCAACATGATTGTGCATACTTATTACTTGCACCACTATGTAGCAGTCCCTTTCATTGGTTTTACTTGGCCATTGTCAGGAGTTGTGTTTTAGTGAATCAAGTTTTTTGAGCCGTTGCTGAAGAACTTTTTGAATTATTAGGAAAGGCCTAGGTTTGTTACTTTAGTGTTTTTCTTTTCTTTCCCACTTTTGTTTTTCATTAGGGTGTTTTGTTTTTGGTTGTACAGATATTTGAAAAATGAATCCATGACATGTATCCTCATGACTTCTCCATGCATTGGCGACTTTCTTTTCAATCTGTTACTTTGCATAAATAAACTGAACTGACAACTGAGAAAAGGGGGTTTGAACTTTCTGGACTGCCCTGATCATGGCAGAAATCACACAATATTCCTCTTACGACTTACATTTATTTTTGTTCAAATTATATAAATGAGAGGAAGATCAACATACTCGGTCATGTGGAGATGTCTCTCTTTCTTTTCGATTCCGACTCCAATACATGAAGATTAGATATAGCACCACCAAGGAAACACATCTCTCCTACCAGATGGGGCGGGCTACTAGGACGTTTACTCATAAACAGTTGGTGGGTTGGGGAGGCAAATTTACAGAAAACATAAGTAATAGTACAAGAAACCTTGCGCACTGCAAGCATATATTGCAAGTCAGTTTCGGTTCTTTTTGCATTTGTACAAAGGCAGAAGATTGAGAAGAAGCTAGGGGCAGCAAGTTGTCACTTTTTCTTTATCTTGGCCATATATCATCATTCCTTCAGCACACTCTTCCAGTCAACTAATTCAAAAACATCAGTCCCCGTTATATGTATATAAACCAAGTTCCATCTTCGTCATCATCATTTCATCTTCAGCATGCTTGCTGTCATACTTTTTCCTCATAGCATGGTAATGTCTCAAAAGAAAGGAGCTTCATACCCCACCACCAACTTTAAAATCTGAAAATGAGCTACTGTCTCGTGCTTCTAATGTCGATGCTGAATCTTTCTTTTCCAGCCCTAAGAAGGAACAACTTTGAAAAGCATCCAAGCTGCTCGCTATCAGACGATTCAACCCACCAAGGCTGTCGCCGAGTATTATATCTTCACTATGGTATTTACATGACGGTGTGTCCAGATCTAAAGGCCCCAGTGAGTCGGGCTGCATGCATGGTTTACCAATATCATGTTAAATACTAGACTATGCTATGCCAAGTATGTTGGGAAATAGGGGGAGAAGTATTGCTTACCCAATAGATGTCTGCGAGTGCACTGAAATCTTTTCCCAAGGTATCCATTACTTCTGGTTCACATGGACCTTCGTCCATGGGATCTCCATCACCAGAGTAATCGATTAGTCGTTCCTTATTATGCACCTCCTACAAAAGTTCAGCAGTTAATACACAGCTCAAAGCAATTCAGGATTTTTCAAAGTAAAATCCACTTCTCCACAGCTACCTGTTCACCAGCTGCACGGGGAGACGAACTGGACGTTGTAGGAACTTCTTGACAAAGAATGCGACTCCTTTGAAAGGAGAAGGCATCACATGTTTCATCAGCATCCCAGATTGATGACGTTTGTGACTGGACTGGGGGTAGAAACCCCAACTTGTCTTGATGTTTCGATATGTGGGCAGCAATAGCAGCATCGAATGAATCACAACTAAAGGGGATCTGCTGAAGACATTGATCATTTTGAGCCATAGGCAGCACAATGTTGCTGGTATTACAATCGTTAGGCACATCGGAGAGGAGGTCTCCAACACTGATGTTTGTGAGGCTATCAGCCCATTCTCCAGCAGATAATGTGGTGCTATTGGTCAGTCCCAGCACATTCTAGCAAATATACAAACAAATTACAAGGTCAGAAATGGTTAAAGAGACAACCCAAGTTCATAATTTTTAAGCAACGCATACCACCTGTAAAATGTAATATAAACAGGAAACAGGCTCAGTAAACTTACCCCATCTTCCATTTGTTTCATATTAGTTGCTTCATCAGTGCCCTTCCTTGAACATAATAAGTTATTTTCAGGAGGAATCGACGAATTACACTTGGGCCCCTGGGAAACATACCCATTAATGTCACTTGGTATCTCCATCGGAGGGGATTCTCTGGCAGAATTTCCATTCACTACGGCTAGAGGATCCTTGCGGACATCCATAAGTTTCTGAACTTCATCATTTGTTAATTTTGAATGTGCTTGCAACAGTGCAGCAGCACCTCCGGAATCAGAAAACCAACCATATCTACACAAACACAATGGGAAATTGATTAATATAAATATTCTACTATGCATTTATAACGTATAATAAAGATGGCCCTTCTAGCCCACATAAAAATGAACCAAACCTCAAACGAAATACTGGTGGCCTGCCAAGTGAATTATATACATCGGCTGCACTGACAGTAGAATGTTGAGTCCATCTCTGATCACCCAAAAGGTTATCTATGTTAGCAGCATAGGGGAAAAGCATTAGCTCTCCCAATGCCACACAGGAATCGCCCCATTTCCGGTTCAGATGTTCCAATACAGATGATATTTTCTTGCGGGCACTGAGAGTGAGCTCTAGGTAAGGATTACGCTTATCCTGCGAAAAGAGACGTATGTAATTAATTTTCAAAACGCAATTGTAAAGGTTATGCAGATACAAAAACAAATTATAACTTGAAGTCAGAAACCACGTGCAACTAACCAATTCCATGGCTCTTCGAGTAGTATCATCGATTGGGAAGAACTGAAGCTTAAGCTTAGTACTACTGTAGGTGTTGTTGTCTACATTCTGGAGATGTGAAGAAGCTGGAAGAGGGACCAAAGCTTTATCAACAAGTTCCAGACCCTTTTGTGCTTGAACTAAAATCAAAGAACAATTACTCAATAAGTTTCATAAAGTAGGACCAAACTACCAGGGTATCAAAGCACAACCAACTAACCCTGGCCATCATCCACATCCTTATCAATTTCTGTCATCTCCAAATGTTCAGCAGCATCGGCAACCAAAGAAACCCCCGCAATTGCAGCCCTCTCCCACTTTTGGTATGCAGCTGATGTGGTCACACCTACGAAGTATTTAACACAGATCAATTGCTTGCATTCATCACTGAAAGAATTAAGGGAGCAAACAAAGCTGCTCACAAGTTTAAATGAAGTTTAATGCACACAACTCAAATAGTAGAAAAAGGTTTCAGCAATGCAAAAGTAGAAACAAACTGTACCTGGTTTTCGTCTTTGCCGCGGAGGTTTCATTATACCTGAGTCTCCTCCTTTATTTGTATGTCGGACAACACCCACATTAACATTGCGCTTTAATGGTCCTTTACTTGATCCTAACTTTTGTATACTTTGACCATCTACGAGAACCAGCTTAACAGCCCGACTATCTTGAGTTGATGCTTTATTCTGATTTGCAACAGTGCTGATGCCCGTTGGAGAACCAGTTTCCCCCTGCAAAGGGCGTTTCCTAACATTCTTCTTTCGGTCTTTTATCAGTTGGTTCTCCTACAAGAAATAAGCGAGTCATTGGTTGAGTATATAGGACAGATAAAATGTGTTCCATAATCAAGGAAACAAAAACTGTCGACTAGCTACATGGACTAACCAAGGCCTCCAAGAATATCTTGAATCTTCGTGGCTTCAGATGAAGTTTTGAAGCTTTGCAGCTGTATTTCTCCAATAATGCCCACCTAAATTTAAATTAAAGGTTACATAAAGAAGGGGAAAAAAGGAAAGATAGAACGCACGATTGCATACTTCTATTTAAAGGAACCAACATTATACATATTACCATCGAAGCATTGCAGCATTGGTATCTTTAGAATCTTTTGCATCCAGACATAATCCAGGACCCAGCAACTTGTTCATACGCCTCACCAAACGATAGTAATAATGCCGGACCTGAAAATTGGAGTATATTAAGCAATGGTATACAGAAATAACAACACACCGAACTAAAAAGATAGATAAAAAGCTGGTAGCATTTCCACCTGATCTTTATTCTTAGTCTGAACACGATGAGTGATCTTCTCAAAGTTCTACAATCAAATGAAAATTAAGGTTAAGGACCAGCAGATAAGAATCAAAATCACTGCAAAAGTTAGCAATAACACACCTTTCCAACTTGTCGCAGTGCAGTAAAGAAGCTTTCCTCCTCTTGACGTGTCCAAGCAGCCCATTGCCTAGTTTGCTTTTTCACTGCATAGCAAATTTGAAAGAAAAAACAAATCATTACAGCAATTGCAACATGGCTTGCTGGCTGTATCACTGAAAATAGTAAAGCAACAACGCAAGGAATCAAATGAATGGATGGACATATCCTACCAGGCTGTTGTGGTTCCATGGGATCCGGAGTAGATGTCAGAACACAAGGATTCTGATCCTGAACTGAAGTCTCTGTATGAAGGGGCGCACCATAGCCCAAAGATACCAATGGCTCCATCTCCATACCAAAGGCATGAAACGTAACAATGTCTAAAGATATATAAGTACAGCAACTTGAATCTCCAACTCAAAGGATTTCAAGCTGCACCTTGAAAGTCCTTGGGTGCAGAAACCTAAACAAGATAAGAATACAGGTTAGAAAGGAACAACCGGATAAATACGACCACTGCATTTATTTTAATGAGCACAGATTCTAAGAGACGGAGTTGCTTTAAAGATGAAGCAGCATTTCTAAGAAAATAAAATCGTTGGAGTTCAATCTTTTCATTGTCCCCAATTTCAAGCAAACCACCATGAAGGATACCATTTCTGCTCCACAAGACCACGCAGAAAATGCTTAGGTTTAGGCTGAAAATTCAAGGAGTAAAAACAAGACGAGCTCAGTAAAAAGATAGTGCAGGAGAAATACAACTCAATGCAATTTGAAACTCAATTTCTTCTTCCGACACCCTAAAGATCCCAGAATCGAAAACCTAAGCTGACAGCAGTTGGTTGAGCAAATTAACAAGCCAAAACACGCAATCATCCAGAACCTACACAAGGAAAATCATATACATCCTTGAAATTCTCATCCGATAAGGTTTTCCCCAATTTTCGACCGACGAACAAAAGCTAGGGTTTTGACCTTCATCTTTCGAACACATACATGACAGGAAACAAAAACCTTTGGAATCAAAAGTCAAATTACCTGACGAAGCAGACAGATGAATTTTCGACGAATTATGGTAAACGCTAGAGAAAAATGAAACGAGATTGACAAAACTTCCGATCGGCGCAACTCGAAACCGGCGAGGGTGGAGAGATCTTCCTTGTGCACAGTACAGTAAGAAAGCCGGAATTTTCCTCTAATTTTCGTTTTTGCCCCCCTAATTTTTGGTCATCTTTTTGGGTTCGCCCAAACCTTCTTTCTTTTACACTTGGGATAAAATAATAATTAATGCAACCAAACCAAAACTAAAGCAATGTTATATGTCAGGTAGGTACTACAGGTAAAGTAAATTTTGAATCAGCTGGGGTAAAATTGTGACCCTGGCGAGGGTTGTGGAAGATCATCTGGACCAAATCGAAGTTTGAACCATATCATATCAAATCGAATATAATATAATTTGGTCTTTGATTCTATAAGTTTTAGAACTACGAAAGAAAAATATATTGAATTGACATTTTGACCGACGAAACCAGTCCATATCAGACGAAATAAAATGTTGATCCCGATATTAGTTCTAAGATGTCTTAAACTATTGAACTATAATTCTCATGAATTTGATATAGTCTGAACCGAATTGTTGTAGTTCACACCCCTAACCTTGGCACTTTATAATTGCTTACGTGGCATCTTCCTTTAAGCTATACTAGCACCGGGCCCGGCCCTTAGCCAGAAGAGTTTGATTATTATATATTTTGATGTGTTGTCGTCATTTATAATATGTAATTTTCGGTATGGATAAAAAAATATAGAAATGAATAACGAATATAAACAACTAATAGTGATATTTAGAAAGTAAATGGTGTCTATTTATTTTGTATTTCGTGTAGGACAACATGAGAATTCTCTTCCATTACACACAAAATCAATCTTAATCATAAAAGAAAATGATTGTTCATTCATATAGTTTAATCAAATATTTTTTCTCAATAGTTACCATCTTTATTCATCATTGTACGTTATAGATATGAAATTATATCATGTGAAAGAATATATAGGGTACAGTAGAAATTAATCACCAATATGAAGTAGCATGTTGAAGATGTACCACGATGAAGTGAAAACCATCCTCAATACAACATTAACCTTACTTATTTTGCACGAACTAATATGTTATAGAATTTGTGACCATTTTGCATCCATGCATGAGAGTGTCGTTGTAGAAGCTTTTAGAAAAACCATAAAATGATCTAGTGTCAAGATTCAGAGTGAGCATTCTTAACATGAGTCAAGGGCTCGAGGCATAAAAGAAAAATCTAATGAGTATTTTGTGAACTGCGAAAGTTATACTTAAAAGTTCAGCCTTTAGTACCTCATTGTTAACTTCAGTATTAATATTTTAGTGTTAAAGTAAAGGTAGACAAAACAGTGGGCAATGAAGACCAAATTGATCTCAAATGCTCAATACATGAAAGCTCACTTTGAAGACCAAATGTTAAAGTAACTTTGTGTCTTCATGTTGCATCTTGTTCTTCCTAAAATCCATAGCATATTCAGATGTGAACAAAAGCCTTTAAATATGCTCCCAAAAGAAACATAGGGAAAGGCAATTAGATATAAAAAGAGATAATACCACCATCTATAATTTTTTTTACAGAAACCTGTAACCGTTATATTAATTAGAATTCGCTACTACATCGTCGAGCTTAATCTGATCAAATAAATAAATTGGCGGCCAATCAAGCCAAACCTCCCGTCCATTCCATCTTGTGCGAGCAGTTGCAATTATGTGGGCTGCTTCATTCGCCTCCCTGTAGACATGGGATAAGCTTCCTCCTAGATTTGGTTGTGGGAAAAATAATTCTTGATAAGGAGTTTATTCTTGAAATGTCCAGGGGTGTGATTGTTCTTCGTATTAGGGGGGTTGTTCTTCCTGGAACCCAAATCCATAGCCTTCTCCATACTGGTTATCCCATGAAGTCTCAGGGTAATACTAACCGGGTGATGCTTGATACCCCCACTGTTCGGAGAAGCCATATGGATTCATGATTCAGAACTGCACAATCACAAATAAAAACACCCAAGTGAAAAGCAAGGGTGGAAAAGAAAAAAGAAGCTAAACTAACAAACCTAGGATTTTCCTAATAATCAAGAAGGTCCACGGCAACGGCGCCAAAAACTTGACTCGCCGAACACAAATCCTTACTATGGCTAAGTGTAACCAATGAAAGGGATTGCAGTATAGCGGTGCAAGTAATAAATATTGAATCCTCTCTAGATGTACTATTACTCAGCTTCAGTTCATTATCTAGCAAATCAGATTAAGGATTGATTAATTAAACTACTCTACTAACTCAACTAAGTAAAACTACTAATTACAGGTTGCGAACTCACTTAAGTATGATTCCCCCTAGTTTGTAGTTAGGCCAAGTTATAGTTCAACCAATCCAATTCAGTTGACAAATATACAGTGGAAAGTTCTTGACAATTTTGGAATCTCGACTAAAGAAGACCAGACCCTCTTGGTTCGAATACATGGCGGGCTACTAACCTCCACCAGCATAAACTAACCAAAGCAATAACATACCAAACTTCCTCTACTTGCTTTAATTCCAGTATAGAGGAGTGAATCAATTTATTGACTAAAGCAATCGATCCACTACTTCCAATTGAGGTTGCTCTATTAACCTATGCATAGACAATCGTTCTAGGTTAAAGTAGGAATCACAAAAGTTTGATCAGGACTCAAGTAATTCTGAATCAATGCCTCAACTGAATATAAAATGTCAATCAATCATGAATTCAAGTTCATACAACTCTTCCTAGCATACAAATCTAAGTGAAGGAAGTTACTTCATAGAGAAGAGAGAGAAAGCAGAAATCTGATCTAGATCTTCAATCTCCATCTCCAAGCTTGTTTCCCGAGCTCCAATGGCGAAGAAATCCTCCAAATAGCTCCAAGAATGTTCCCAACGTGCTCTCTCTTGGGTTCGTCCCTTGGGTGTTTGGGATCCAAAACCCAACTCTCCCCCTTCAGAATTCTCAAAAACGCATTTATACAGCTCACAGAAGCCAAGTTACGGCCCCAAAGTATGGTCGTAACGTACACTTTTTATCCGCGATTCTCTTTGATGTTTGTTGCAATTGAACTCCAAAAAGGTTGGTTTTACACGAGGTTGCTTGTGTTTCAGATCCTAACAGGTAAAACCAAACCCGGAGTCGAAAGTTGGAAAAAAAGGAGCAAAGACAGGGTAAAGAGGTGGAGACAGTCGTTGTTCACGGCCTTAAGTTGAAGTTCACGGTCTTACAGGACCGTGAACTGGAGCCATGTCATGTGAACCAAGGAGCATCCAGAGGGGGTTCGCAGGTTACTAACGCCCAGGCTATTCACGGGCGCTAAGACCGTGAACCCGAGCCATTGAAGCCGTGCATTTTGGTCTCAACGCTGAGTTCACAGATGCGTTTCAATGTTCACGCCCGTGAACTCAGGCCGTGAAATGGGCGCGATCTCAACTTAAAAGGCCATCTGAAAGGAGAAAGAGGGGAGAGACCTAGTGTGAGAAACTTCTCCTTCAGATTTTAAAGTGAGAAAGTGACGAATAGAAGAAGAGGAAAAGATAGGGTTTCATCTCCAGGCAAGGTTTTGGGAATTCCTTCCCCAAAGGAGGATTTCTTCAGCACAAGGAGCAAGGATTGCATCTTCTTGATGGTTTCCCTTTCCCTCTATTGTGTTTTCCCTTCACCTAGTATGGAGTAGTCTCTTCTTTCACTTGGGTGTTTGTAAACCCTAGCTACAATTATGTGAATGCTTGTATGAATTGAATGATTTGTGTGTGGTTGTGTTTTAAAGTGAATGTGGAGGTATTATTCAGAAATGATAGTGTTGTGTGAAAGCCTATCAATATAATTGCCATTCTAACCTAGCTTAGAGAGGAGACCTCCTTAGGTTAAGAAGCTCAATTTGAGATGGGTGTTCTTGGGAATTTCATGCCTCCTAGGCTAGTTTAGAGAGGAAACCTCCTTTATCCAAAGAGGCTCGACTCGAGTTGGGTTTCTTTGGGCATTCCATGCCTCCTAGGCTAGTTTAGAGAGGAAACCTCCTTTATCCAAAAAGGCTCGACTCGAGTTGGGTTTCCTTGGGCATTCCATGCCTCCTAAACTAGTTTAGATAGAACCCTCTGTAACCTAAGAGGATCATTTTGAGATGGGTTTCCTTGGGCATTCAATGCCTCCTAAGCTAGTGTAGAGAGAACCCTCCTAACCTAAGAGGCTCTATTAGAGATGGCTTTCCTTGGGCATTCTATGCCTCCTATTCTAGGTTAGTTAAAGGGAAAACCTCCTAATTCGCATTAGCACTTAGGGTTTGGTTGTGGGTGGCCATCCGAACTCCAATTCGAGGGTGAAGTCTAACCATTCCTTAGTTGATAGGTTGAGAGGGTCACTTTAGTGGCTTGGATCGTATCCCATTCCTCAACCTAGATGCTAAGAGGGTAGTTTTGGCTGCTTGTTAGGCTTCCCTACGGTTTATGACCCCCTAACCACACACATTCGTTCGATTCTTCAAGTCATAATTGTTAGCTAGGGGGAGGAACGCCCGAGTGAAGCTTTCTTAACTAGTGTTAAATCCATTTTACCTTTGCAAGGCAATTTAGTTTTAGACCTTTGTTTTCACCAAAACTAATCCGTTGGATAATGTTTCAAACAGTCGAAGTAGCGGTACGTGGACTGGCCCGGGTCGATATTTAAACATATTTGCCCTATATTGCACCCATCTAAGGTTTATACTTGGACCTTAGGTGGGATTTTATTGTGATAGTCAGAGCAAGTCAAATGACGCTTGGGCAACTAGCCCTAATCTTCACTCTTAGCCTGCTATATGATATCGTGCTGGGTACGGAATTCTAGGGTTAGACGGGTAATGCGCCATCTGGCGAGTTTAGGTTAGATGTGTGAATGGGGGTCTATAGTGGTCGAGGCGACCGTACCCCTGCTATAGGTGGCTTTCCTAGATGAAACCCGGCATAAAACCTCGGTGTGGACGGTGGATAGTGTCCATTGCAATGAGACATATACTTAATGCCCCCGATATGATAGCCTAGATTGAGGCGAATGGAACATGGGTTTAGGGGAGGCGTGTGGATAACGACGAAGGCCCACGAAAAAGGACTCTCTCAACACATTCGACGATCCTAGATATCTATATATGCATAGTGAC